TATGTATATCCAATGTTGGGATAAGTAAAGCAGCTATAGTCCCAGAAGACTGCTTTCTCGTTACAAAGAACTGACTGATGGTGGTTTATCCTGAGAGTCATCACACCTCAGACGAGGGCAAGGTTGACAAGGTGGGACCTTCATGGTAACCTCAGCCGGTGGAGGAATTGAACCCTTGCTGTTAGCATTACACTGCATCACAGAACAGCCAACCAGCCAACAAATCCCCTGTGCATAAGCTCCACTGTGGACATCTCTGATGTCCTCTGCCAGTAATATTAATGTCAGCGTCTACCATTGGTGTCTGTGTCTGGAAACAGACAAACTCCTCCTGTTCTCTGGCACAAAGAGCAGTAGTGGGTTTGTGTCATGTTTCGGGTTTTTCCAGCTGTATGTGACAATATAAGACCATGTGTATGTTAACAAGGAGAAGAAAAAAATGGAGCCAAGGTGCAATTGTAGCTTTCATTTCAACTTTGGGAGTGGAAATTATAAAGAAGTGCAATGAAGCTTAGCCTCAGGAGACCCATAAGAAGAAATTTGGGAAAGATTGGCAGTGATGAAGTAGAGATGTGCAGAATGAAGTGAAAAGTATGACTTAGAAATAAGGTGGTCACTGTCTTTGGGTGTAGTTCTCATCCCATCCCAGTCCTACACCTGATTGGTAAGATTGTCCAGATGAGGTGTTATTTCAATGTCCCTGATGATGTTTGAAGAGACCTATGTTTATTTGGGCTCCAGGGTTAGGCCTCTGATGATGTTGCAATGGTTCTCAGGTGAGTGTCACCAAAGATAGGATGGGATTTAAGTCTAAGAGAATTGGGGATGGGAGCCAAGGTTGCAAGTCAGGCTGGGGTTTGTTGTAGAATTAGTTTGACATTGAGTTTTAGATGAGATGATGGGAATCAGAATTATCATGAAAGAAGGCAGGGGTTGGATTGAGTGACCAAAGGTCAGGAGAAAGACTTGGAGGGGAACCAGGAGAGGAAGACAATGATTGAAAGAGTAAGTCAAGAGAGTCAATGGATAGCAGTGATTGGAAATGTTTCACTGTATTCAAGATTAAAAGGCATTATTTATTATGTTTGAGCCCAATTATAAATTATAAAAAGACCACAAGGTAGGCCTGTAAAAACTTGAACCAGAAATCATTTAGGTTATGCCTTCACAACTACACAGTTGGAGCTAGACTGACCCCAGTTTCCTGCTTTGAGTCACCTGGCCTGGTTTTCTTAAAGGGGCAGCACGGACCTCCAACCATATACATAATGCCTCTTACCCTTTATTTTAAAAAATCCCATTAATGAACATACATGCAACAATTGTAAATATTATGCAGGTACTGAAGCCAACATAGTCATGTACATTTACAAAAGCAATGTAAACATGGTAAAACGACCATGCCCCCATGCAAGCTGTTGCTTCTGTAGTCTACATGGACACGATTCGTCTCTCAAGGAGATGGTGGTTTCTAGGAGACCATCTCCTAGTCTCAGGAGTCTTTTCTGGTGTAGTCTCCAGACTTTGGAAGCTCCTGCGGTTCAGCAGTTGCCTCCCTCTCCGATTGTCTGCTGTTTCCCTATGAAGCTGCTATTGTCTGTTCCCTGGATATGACCAACCCTGGCTCGGAGACACATGATGGTTGACACTACTAGTCCACCTGGGCCAGCTATGTATTCTGAGTGACTTATTCCGTTGGTGAGATGCTGTGACCAGCTGGTCCACGTGTCTCCTCCAGACTAGCTCATCCCTGGTCTGCACTGTATCCAACAGTGGTCCTGTGTGAGCCACCAGCATTACTGGAACCCATTTTTCTTCATACATATAATTTCTGGACATTTCTTTGGAATGTCCTCAACTTTGGGGTTCCTGCCCTTCTGGCCATGTGTCCTTCTTGAACTCGCCCTACCAGCTCCCTGGTCTCTCTCTAGCCACAGTAAGTCAAGCATTGTTCTCAGCTGGCAGTTGAACATTAAGGATGCCAGCGAGCACTGGGTCATCGTGTGTGGCGTGTTACGGTACATGCTGAGGAACTTGTTGATTCGCCATCCTAGTGAATCCTCACCTTTGAGAAGCCTTTAAGACTTGCTTCAGGGTTTGTGCAAATCTCTCCGTTTGGCTGTTTGTCGCAGGGTGATACGGGGCCAATCTCACATATCTGACTTTGTGATATCCTGGGTACTCCCTGATCTCTTTTGCCACAGTGGACCATTGTCACTCATGGCTTGTTTGGGGTTCCCGAACCTGGCGAATATTTCATCTTCCATTTGGTCTAACGTTGCTTCTGCTGATGCCAACTTCATGATCGCCACTTCGAGCTACTTGGAGTGGGGACCCATGACCACTAGTAACATCCGCGTCTCTACTGCTCCCATGAAATCGATGTGAATCTGCTGCCATGGTGATTGAAGTCATTCCTATGGATGAAGGGGTGACAACAGTGGCACCTTGCTTACTAATGTGTAGGATTTTCACGATCCCACTTGGTGCTCAATCTCAGACTTTGCCTTCAGCAACCAGAAGTAACATCTGGCTATTTCTTCCACTCGGACCACATCAGGATGCCCTTGGTGCACTTGTTTCAGTACATTTCCTCTGAACGAGGGAGGAATAACAACCCTCATTGCCCATATTAAACACATATCTAGTGTGCACAACTTTCACCTCCTGGACAGGTAAGGGCGTAATTCTGGGCTGTTTCCCCTCAGGACTAGGTCCACCACTTTACTCAATGTTTTAACAAAGATCCGCAGCTCGGGTTGCGGTGGAGTTGTTGGTTGATTCGCTGAGCTGACTGGTTTTCATGAAAAAATTTCATCCCCCCTCTAGGTGACATTGTCAGTGCTGTCTAACCTCCGTTGAAGCACTGTTGTTCTGTCCCACTCTGAATTTATATGGTCCGGTCTGTCCTGGTGGGCAGTCTTGTTTCCGGTTTTGTACCATAGTGGTACGTAGATGGGGTCTATTTCAACATGGTTGTTTATCGCATCAGTGGTTGAAAACACCAACTCACAGCAAAACGGCATGGCCAGCTTTCCCTCATTTCAATACACTCCAACATAGAAGGACATCAGTTTAATTGGGACAAAGTTACAGTACTAGGACAAGCAAAACAAAGACAAGCACAAGAGGCCTGGTTTTCAATCACCGATTTTTATTATTTTTTTTATTATATGCCAATTCCAAGAAAAATGATACAAATATAATTTCAAACATATATGCTTCCAGGTAAAAAGTTTTAAAGGCTTAATTTCCAGTTCAAAAGGAAGATGAGAGAAATATACAGTTTAAAGTTCTTAGCATGTCCTTGAGGCATGAATGCTTTAACCTGAGACCACGATTGTTTAATTGTGGCCTAGTATCCTTGGCAGTGATGAATATTCCATTTGTTCTTTGAGTTCTCAATAGTTTTATGTATCTTTTTAATCAGTTCTGTCACTGGGCACTTTTCCTTCTTAAGAAGCTAAGAGAGAGTGCTTTCTCCAGTTTGTTTCAGTCATTAATCAGTCATTAAAGTAGTTCATTGAAATATAAGTTTATTTTTGTGTATTCCATCTGTGGAAGTTATGTTTCTTTAGGTTTGCTAATTATAGGTGAGGTTCCATGTCCAGCGTATTAAAATTTACACAAAGGTGTCAATCAAATCTAGGAGATGACGGTTTCTTCAACCCAAACTGAGTTTCAGTGAACTTTGATAAAATGTTAGCTTCTGCTCAGACAATTTTGTTTATTCCACGTTGATTGCACAGAGTTTGCCTAGGTTCTGTGATTAGCTGCTTGCTAAGGTCATTTAAGACAATGTTTTTCCTTTTATAAAAAAATCATTTTGGTTCATGGAAATCCCAAATATTAAAATCAGATGATGGAATCTAAAAATCAATCGTCCTTCTTCTATCACTGTCATGACAAGCTACAGGGACTTCAAGGTATGAAACCAACCCAGGAGCTGCCAATCAGAACAGAAATTGCAACTAGCAAATATCATTTGTGAATCCTTAATGAATTTCACGACAATCCTTTGTGTAATATTTCGTGCAGCTGTTATCCATTTGAAGTAAATAAGTTTGAACCCATTTAAGTATTGTACGTATGGGAATGCAATGCAATAAATGCAGTACTTGAAGTTCGCTGAGAGAGAAATCATGTTAATGCTCAAATAAACTCTCAGCTTTAATGTACATTAAGTTCCAATGGTGTCCCAAGGGCAAGATGGGAATTTGAATATTTTTAGCTTTCATTGTTGGTCCCTTTATTTGAACCAGCCAAAAAGGACTCTTCCAATTATTCCCTATCTACATTATTTTAAAATATGGGGAAAAAATAGCACAAGACATTAAAGAGCTCAATATGAAACTTGCGATGGGATTTGTCAAGTACTGAGACGTCAGTAGTGTGGATAAATGATGATGATGTATAATGATGCAATGACAATTCTAGTGTCCCATGATTATGTAGCGAGAACTGGAAGCGAGAAGGCTTCTAAGCTGGAAAAAAGAGTTTGTACAGAAAGTAGCCTGGAACGCAGAAAGTAGTACTTGGAAGATTAATTAGAATTCAATCTGGTACACAAGATAAAGCAGGATTATCCTGCAATCAGAAGAAGAAAAGTTTACTCAGAATGAAATGACTTGATACAGGTGTATTACTTTGGCCCTACTGGGAGCCATATTGTCATCAGAAATGATCATGATATTATACATGCTGTGAAAAGAAAAGCCTTCCTTCAGTCATTTACTGTGTGTGGCATAATGTAACAATAACTAACAAAATGCCAGTGCATAAAATGTTCACTTAAACTGTGACCAGTTAGGTAGGGATGGGTGCATTCCACGGACGTAAATGGAAAATTAAATTCTCTCTAAATGACTCACGGGAGGAACGGATACCACCCAGACCCAATCATCCATGCCTTCCTCCTGTTGCTCCGTCGCAGAAGCTGCAAGACACACAAAAATATTGAAAGGACTTGTACACAAATTCCAAAATTTGAGCCTACTTCTTGTCAATTACTGACTCCTCAGATATTGAAGCAGTCTATGTTCAAATCCAACAAGATCTGGACAATATCCAGGCCCGGGATGACAAGTGGCAAATAACATTTGTGCCACATAAATGCCAGGCTATGAACATCACCAATAAGAAATAATCCAACCACTGCCCCTTGACATTCAATGGTGTTACCATCCATCAGTGAATCCCCCACTATCAACATCCTGGGGTTATCATTGAGCACAAACTCAACTGGACTTACCACATAAACACAATGGCTAGAAAAACAGGTCAGAGGCTAAGAATATTGCGGTGAGTAACTCACCCCCTAACTCCCCAAAGCCTGTCCGCCATCTGCATGGCACAAGTCAGGGGTGTGATAGAATACTCCTTACCTGCCTGGATGGGTGCAGCTCCAACAACATTCAACACATCCAGGACAAAGCAGCTGTTAGGTTGGCACCACATCTACAAGCATCCATTCCCTCCATCATCAACGCTCAGAAGCAACAGTATGTACTATTGCCAAGATGCACTGCAGAAATTCACCAAAGAGAGCACCTTCCAAACCCAACATGAATTCCACCTAGAAGGACAAGGACAGTAGATATGTGGGAACACCACCAGCTGTAAGTTCCCCACTAAGACACTCACATCCTGACTTAGAAATATATCATCATTCCTTCACTGTCACTGGGTAAAAATCCTGGAATTCCCTCCCTCAGGGTATTGTGGGTAAACTACAGAACATAGACTGCTGTGGTTCAAAAAAGCAGCTCAAAACCACCTTCTGCAGGAAAATTAAGGACAGGCAATAAATGCTGGCCAGCCAGTGTCGCCCATGTCCCATGAGTGAATAAAAAAAACTGTGTAAGAAACAATCATTATCTGGATCATTGATAATGTAACATGCTGAAACTTTTACATTTAGCTGCCCGTTCTGTTTTATGAACAGGACTATTTTAACGTTGCGAAATCAGCAACTGTTGAAAATATTCATTATCAAATACTCAGGAGATAAGATAGCATCTGTGGAGAGACGAAAGCAGTTAGAGTTTCAGAATGATGAAATCTCATCAGCACTGGAATGATCATCAGCCTAAAAAGTTTATATTTCAGGCTTCTATCATATTCATCTTCTTTTTGTTTTCACTCATGGAATGTGGGCATCGCTAGCTTTCCAGTATTTATTGTCCGTTCTTAGTTGCCCTTGAGGAGGTGGTGGTGTGCTGCCATTTTGAACCATTGCAGTCCACCTGCTGTAGGTTGACCCAAAATACCCTGAGGGAAGGAATTTTGGGATTTTGCCTGAACAACAGTGAAGGAACAGCAATATATTTCCAAATCAGGATGTGAGTGGCTTCAAGGGAAACTTGCAGATTGTGGTGTTCCACACATCTTCTGCCCTTGATCTTCTAGGTGGAAATGGTTATGAGTTTGGAAGGTGCTTTCTTTGACAAATTTCTGCAGTGCATCTCATAGGTGGTGCACAGTTCTGCTACTGAACATTGTTGGTGGATAGAGTAGATGATGTGGATATGGTGCCAATCAAATGGTCTGCTTTGTACTGGCTTCTTGAGTGTTATTGGAACTGCACCAACCCAGGCAAGTGGGGAGTATTCCATTCTAACTTGTACCTTGTAGGTGGTGGACAATCTTTGCAGAGTCAGGAAGTGAACTACTCATTACAGCATTCCTAGCATCTGACCTGTTCTTGTAGCCACTGTGTTTTTGTGGTGAATCCAGTTGAGTTTCTGGTCAATATTAAGCCTCAGGATGTTGATAGTGGGGGATTCAGTGATGGAACACCATTGAATGTCAAGAGGTAGTGGTTAGATTGTCTCTTATTGGAGATATTAATTGCCTGGCATTTGTGTGGTATGAATGCTACATTGCCACTTGTCAGCCCAAGCCTGATATTATTAAGATTTTGTTGCATTTGAACATGGGCTGCTTCATCTGAGGAGTCGCAAATAATGCTGAACATTGTGCAATCATTGGTGAGCATTCCCACTTTTGACCATATGATGGGGGAAAGATCATTGATGAAACAGCTGAAGCTGTTTGGTCTAGGACGCTACTCTGAGGAGCTCCTGCAGAGATGTCCTGAAACCGAAATGATTGACCTCCGACAACCACAACCATCTTCCTAGGTGCAAGGTATGACTCCAACCACCGGAGAGTTTACCCCCTGATACCCATTGATTCCAGTTTTCCTAGGACTCCTTGATGCCACATTCGGTCGAATGCAGCATTGATGTCATGGGCTGTCACTCTCACCTCACTTCTGGAATCTCGCTTTTTTGTCCATGTTTGAAATAGTGCTGTAATGAGGTCAGGAGCCGAGTGGTCCTGGCTGAACCCAAACTGAGCGTAAGTGAGCAAGTTATTGCTGAGCAGGTGCTGCTTGACAGCACTGTTGATGACAACTTCCATCACTTTACTGATGATCGAGAGTAGATTGATGGGGCAGTAATTTGCTTAGTTGGATGTGTCTTGCAGGTAGATGCTGGTGTTGTAAATGTGCTGGAAGGGGAACAGAAAGTTCAGGAGCACAAGCTTTCAGTACCCTTGCTGGAATGTTGTCAGGGCCCGTAGACTTTGCAGTTTCTAGTGCCTCCAACCATTTCTTGACATCATGTGGAGTGAATCGAATTAGCTGAAGGCTGGTATCTGTTATGAGAAGGCCACTAGAGGAGGCCAAGAAGGATCATCCACTTGGCACTTCTGGCTGAAGGTTGCTGCGAATGCTTCAGCCTTATCTTTTGCACTGATGTGTTGGACTCTTCCATCATTGAGGATGGGACATTTATGGAGCAATGAGTCTTCATAGGATGTGAATTCAATGTTGAGGACTCACAGGGCAACTCCATCCTGATTGTATTCCACTGTGCTGCCACTTCTACCGGGAACAGGACATATCCAGGGATGGTGATGGTGGTGTCCGGGACATTGCCTGTAAGGTATGATTCTGTGAGTATGACTATGTCAGGCTGTTGCTTGACTAGTCCGTGAGACAGCTCTCTTAATTTTGGCACTAACCCCTGATGTGAGTTGTTTAATTGTCCATTTATGACTGGATGTGGCAGGACTGCAGAGCTTAGATCTGAGCCATTGGTTATGGGATCATCTAGCTCTGTCTATCACTTGCTGCATTATGCTGTTTGGCACACAAATAATCCTGCTGGTAGCTTCACCAAACTGACACCTCATTTTAATTATGTCAGGTACTACTCCTGGTTTGCCCTCCTGCGTGCTCCATTGAATCGGGATTGATCCCCTGGTTTGATGGTAATGGTTGAGTGGGGGATATGCCAGGCCATGAGGTTACATATTGTGCTGGAGTACAATTCTGCTGCTGTTGATGGCCCACAGTGCCTCATGGATGCCCAATCTTCAGTTGCTAGATCTGTTTGCAGTCTGTCCCATTTAGCATGAAGATAATGCCACGCAACATGATGGAGGGTATTTTCAATGTTAAGATGGGACTTCATGTCCACAAGGACTGTGCAGTGGTCACTGTTACCAATATTGTCATGGACAGATGCATCTGCAGCCACAGCTTGATATGGATGAGGCCAAGTATGTTTTTTCATCTTGTTCGTTCCCTCACCACCTGCTGCAGACTCAGTTTAGCAGCTATGTCCGTTAGGACCCAACCAGCTCAATCAGTAATACTGCTGCCAAACCACTCTTAGTGGTGGAGATTGAAATCCCCCACCCAGAGTACATTTTGCACCCTTGCTATCCTCAGTGCTTCCTCCAAGTGGTGTTCAACATGGAGGAGTACTGATTCATCAGCCATGGGAGGAGGGTACATTGTAATCAGTAGGAGCTTTCCTTGCCTGTGTTTGACCTGAAGCGATGACGCTTCATAGGATGCGGAGGCAATGTTGAGGACTCACAGGGCAACTCCATCCTGATTGTATTCCACTGTGCGGCCACTTCTGCTGGGAACAGGACATATCCAGGGATGGTGATGGTGGTGTCTGGGACATTGCCTGTAAGGTATGATTCTGTGAGTATGACTATGTCAGGCTGTTGCTTGACTAGTCTGTGAGACAGCTCTCTTAATTTTGGCACTAACCCCTGCTGTTATTAAGGTGGAATTTGCAGGGTGTCAGGGTTGTTCCCATTGTCCTCTCCAGTGACTAGGTTGATGCCAGGTGGTCTGTCAGGTTTCATTTCTTTTGTTGAGATTTTGTGGTAATTGATATAACTGAGTGGCTTATTATGCCAATGTGAGAGGGCAATTGAGAGTCAACCACATAGCTGTGGGTCTGGAGTCACATGTCACACACTCCGCATACCAACACACCTCACTATTCCACTTATTTCTCTGTCTCAAAACATCACATCTGAACACACAATATTTACAATCAACATTATCTTGTGCCATCTATACTCATCGCTTCCAGTCACCCTCCACAACTATACTCATTTCATCATCTCCATGCATTCCTCTTCTCCTACTAACAGTTGTCTGCTTTCTTTCATTGCAGAAGTGAGCTCAAACTCTACGGAAAGGTAAAGACTGGGGCTGGCCCTGCAGTTCCGGCCACCTTGAGGTAACAGCATTGGAAATTGGCAGGATGGCACAATCAGTGAGTTTAGGCGATAGAAGGGAGGGGCTCTCATGCAGACGTGGTGACAGAATAAGATATCACATTGCCATTTGGCAGTTAAGGCACTTGCACTGAATTGTTGACATAAATCTGAAATGTCACCATCTGCCCAATGTCACTTTGAACCTCATCGGTATGTCAGTTTTAATTCATGTATTTTATCTCCCACAGACAGTTCAAAAGTGGCAGATGAGCTGAAGTTGCAGGCGACTGAGGCATGCTCAGAGTAGGTGGCACACTCCCAGGAAACTCCATTACAAAACCAGCACATCCTCCTCCATCAAGGAAACACACACCTCAGGGGGACTTCAGTCCAGTTAAG